TTGATACTTCTCCTGCTGCGAATGCTACTGATCATTTGCTTTCAATCACGTTCTTTACATATATTCCATTTGGTTTGTTCGGTTGTTTCAATGCTTTATTTGGCCATGGAAGCGTTCTATTTCATGTCGTTGGACAGTTCAGTGCCTGTCATCTCCCAAGTGGTCCTATCAGGTGAATGAATGTTGATCTTAATGAATAGTCAACGTGAATGTACGTAATCGAATGATAGATATTTCTGCTCAATGAAGCTGAAGCTGATATGTTCAAATGAATGGATATTGTGCAAAACCAGTAGACATGAACAGAACTCCATTATTTTGATCGAACTCTATCTGTTTCTTCTGGTTCGATGATATCGAAGCTTCAGAGAATTGTTGCAAACGGCTGCCTATCTTTTGTTGGATTTCAGAGAGTCAAAAATTTCAGAGACAAAAAGTTGCTCCAAGTATCCATGGTTCCTTTATTCCTGTTAAGCTGCATTGCAGGCATCTCAGTGGTAATAATACTGGTATGCAAGAGTTCAATCTGGGAGAGTGTCGATAAGCGATCGACAAAAAGTGATAAACGGCGTATGCTAGTGTCGAAGCATTTTCTGACGAATAATCAATTTGACGACTCACCGATATCGCCCGGAGTGGTGAACTTAAAGAAATTGCAATGATCAAATTCGTTGAAACGAAATACTTCAGTTGATTCGCTTCTGCTGAAGGAAATTTTTAATTCGCTTTAATCAACAATCGTAATCGATCTGATTTGTAAATATATATATATTTTAAAGCATTAGTCGATTCACATAAAAATGAAGTTTACAAAGCGTTTTTGTGATGTTTTCGCTGTCAAACTGTCAAGTTTACACTATCAATGCCGGCTCATCGACTACTTGACGTACTCTAGATCTGCGAACAATTTTGCGTGGTAATCGCGAATAGGATGTTTTCTGCACTTCGCCACTTTTATCAACACCATTATTCGAAGTGTTTCAAGGTGTGATGACGTGAAGAAAGTTTACATTTCAAATGATATTTCATTCAAGAAATAGAATGGCAGAATGAAATGTGGTACAATATGTGCAAAGGAGTTCACATCAAATAGAGCATATGCGATTTTTATTGAACGATGAATATGCATTGCGCAATGAAAAACAAAAACAAAGTAATACACGCATGAAGACGTGAAATCAGTGACATATAACAACCCAGACAACAACCGTACGTAATTATCATCATATACCTAAACTTATCAATAGTAATCATCATTCAAGGCGATTGATATCAGTACTCATCAACTGTCATTGTCGATGTTCAGTTAATGAATATGTTGAATCGGAGAAGAATGCAATCGTATGGTAAAAATTGTTCTGTCTTCGTCAAGTGTTGAACATTTTTGGGTTTATGAAGAAAAGATTAATTTGGCAGAGCAAAACGTCTCCGTTATCATTATTGTGATGTGATTGTGAATTTTCAAGCAATGAAAAACATAAGTTATTGAGAAATAAAAGTGATATATCAACATTATTAACAAAAGCACATTGGCTTTTCACCATTCAACTACTGAACAGTTTGTTCTTCTGCGACAATTATATTTTCTTCGGGGATGTTGCGTTGTAGTTGCGGGACACGGCGATCCTTAATAGAAGTCATCCTATTATTTCCGATTCACAACGAGAACTTTGCTATTATGATTGAATGAAAATACGGGCAATAATAATAATAAAAACAGTGATAACAGAAGATAAGTGAAGAAATGAAAACAAGAATTGAGCGAACCTCAACGGCGTTCGCGGCTAAGGCTTGGAATGAACTCCTCAAAACCGGCACACGGCGTTTAATGATAACCGTTTGACCGGGTTTCACTCCAGCCGCTTCCACTATAGGTTTCTGGAGCATTTGCAATTTGACTCGTTTGATTTGACCAGTTTCTGGGATTTGCAATGTTACGATATTGTTGCGTGACATTTGTTGGTGTTGCTGTGGCTGGACTTGTATTTGGGATGTTGTTGTGGTTTGAGAGTAGGGTATATTGGGTTGTGCAATCTGAGAGGAGCATATCGTCTCTTGATGAGTTTGATGTTGCTGCAAGTTTTGTGCCTGATACTGTGATTGGCTTTGTTGCTGCTGTGGAATTGANGCTTGAGATGAGGAAACCTCAGGAGTGAGTCTTGTTGATGATTGATGAGCTCCACCATTATTTGCTAGCTGAGTTTTAGACAAACTAGGTTTTCGTTTCCGTTTCAAAATCAACGGTTTACATGTACGACCATGTTCCAATCTTGAGGTTTTGATGAGTTCCTGAAAAGGTTTTGCCTGATCTGATGCGGAAACTAAAACTTGTTGCGGTGAATAGATGCAAGTTGATATATGTTAGCTTGCAATTGCGCAAGCAAGAAGGCATTATGGCAGACCTCGTAACCGGCCGCATACGGATCAGGCTTCATTTCGGCCAACTCTTCCAAGTACTGCAAAACCTCAGGTGGTGGTTCACGGTTCAAGAAAAGATGTGGTACAAAATCCTCGTGTGATGGATCACTGGACGGTCGACCTGACCGAAAATGCACACTGCACACCTGAAAGGATGGACCGAAATATGAGTGTGAAAGAGATGAGCGGATGACAGGAATGGATGGTGATATCCATGAATGAACTGAGAGCTGAATCCGAGTTCGGCAAACATACTCGATCCTTGTTGGTTACTTCACGATCGCCAATGGCGTACAACCATTGCACCCGTTTCATTCCGGGTTCTTTCGGAATGCCGAAAAATCGAATCGCCGGATAGGCCGAGCGACGAGACCAGCCACAAAACACACATTTATCCATCACCTTCTTCTGATTTATTTATTCAGCTGATAATTCAGCACTGAAAACTAGTGCAGATCATTGACTAGCCAGGTGATACTTCACTGACTAGACTGCGTAATTTTATCGTTTATCATTTAAGTCAGAATAGACTTCCACTATTCAATACGATGCAATTAGAGCTCATAGCAACTCATGAAAATATGGCGCTTATGATTGTAGATTTTTTGAAATGGAATAACCCACAGAACTGATTCAACTGAACAATAAGAAGCTCTACATGATATGAACATTGAAAGTGATCCATAAGACAGGTTCTCGTGGCGAATCAAGAGAATTTGTGACAAATCCGGAAAATAGTCAATGAAATAGCACAGTAACAATTTCTTTGAGAGCACATTTATAGAACAACTGAAATTAGCATGACGCATACTTACGAAAAAAAGGGAGAGCAGTGCGCTGTTTCAACGTATATTGTTGGCATTTTCCTCTTAGCAAGAAGCTTCTTGGCATACAACCAACGCATTGGCGCAACTTTGAATCTGAGATGCTTTGCATTTTTAATTGGCAATTTTTATATTTTCTCTGGAAAGAGCATTTTTATGATGTTTTCTCCGGAAAAATGAGATATTTGGGAGGAATTCATGATTTTGTTGACCAATTCACTCGATCATTCAATAGATTTCCTTCAAATGCTGCTCAAATTAAGTGGACCCACTCGTAGCTATGAGTAAATCCATTCGAATTCGACTTGAACTGGTGTTTTCGTTTCCTCGTTTATGTTTGTATAATTTATTTGTGTCATTGAATAGTCGATTTGCAGAAATTTTTCAACAAGGGAGTTTTGATCAAGTTAAATTTGGAATCAACCTCGAAGAGGAGTTCACTTTGAACTATGAGTAATATTTTCGCGGATGCTGATCGTTTACAACGAGGTTTCAAACGATACTTTAAAGTTTTTCAATGCTTTTTTCAGCTCCTTGCATGCAGTGTTCAAAAGCAATGCTTTAGCAAAATTTTGAATAGAATGGTTCGTTCTGAAGCGTTTCAGTCATCGACAAACTTGTCAATTTCATTTCCAGATTGGTAAAACGTGCGTCGTAAATGATAATGAATCAATGTTTGCAGATAGCAATACACCGGACAGTCCAACCGGTGTGATCGGAACCGATTTTGCGGATGTTCTTCACAATCGATATCGTAGTGCCAATTCTGAATCAGGTTTGATCATCGTTGTTTCGTCGTTATGAACTTCGATTGATCATTTTAGGCGTATCACCATCAGTCTAACGTAAACTACATAAATCTCTACACTTTACGGTTTCAGCGCTTAAATTTTCGACCATATCCTTTCACTGGGAATGCATCAGCAGCCAATAGTGCAAATTATTTCAGTTCGACAATTGGTCGTACGTGTACGTGTTGCCGAAGAGACAGCACAGTTGTATCGCTCGGAGAATCTGCGTCTAAAAAGTGATATTGAACAAGTTCGTAAAACACTGGACAAGAAAGACCACGAACTTGACGAACGTCGAAATGAGTTGAGATCTTGCAATGAGGCGCTGCAGAAAGTGATCGATGAAAAAGTCGGTGAAGTTTCTGGCGTGGTGAACTGACTTTCCGCCTTTTCTCCCTAATAATGTCTATTGCAAAATTGTAAACTTTTCAATTCCAATAAAATTCTCACTATTCGAATAGGTGAG